GAAAATGGTCTGCATACTGCTAAGATGACCAAAAGCAAAAATGAAAACACCTTTTAAGGCTTGGTGCCTGTGGTTCAAGTGGCTAAGGCACCAGCCACATACACCTGAGCTGGCGGGTTTGAATCCAGCCTGGGCCCGCCAAACAACAATGACAGCTACAACCATAAAATAACTGGGCATTGTGGTGGGTGCCTATAGTCCCAGCTACTTGGGAAGCCGAGGCAGGAGACTTGCTTGAGCCCAGGAATTGGAGGTTGCTATGAGCTGTTATGCCACGGCACTCTGCCCACAGTGACAGCTTGAGGCTCTGTCTCCAAAAAAAAAAAAAAAAAAAAAACCATCTTTTAACAGTTTTTAAAATGCACTTCTTGGGACTCCTCCTGTGCCCTGCTGTATTCCGTAACACACTTCCCAATGGCTGTGTGACACATTGAAAAGAGAAGGCGGTAGTGAGGCTGACCAAAATAAACTGGGGGACGGCAGCAAGTTACAGGTGCTGACGGGTGGGGTGCAGCTTGGGGCTCAGGCATGTGGCCCTTAAAAGGTTTATTCTTGACTGAGCTGATGAATAGGGGAGAAGGGGGAAGAGAAGACGACTGGAGCTGGGAAAGAACAGGAAAGGAGAAAGTAAAAACAAGAAGACATGAAAGAAACGAGAAAGAGGAGGAACTCGGGGAAGAGTGCAGCACCCCAAGGTGGGAGGAGAGGTGGATTAAAAAAGGGTACATCATGGGTCTGTCATGGAACAGTCTGAGAACCCCAAACTAAACTCCTGGGGGCCGCCAGTGCTATGAGGCTATCTACTCAGAGGAAGCTGGCAGGATGATTTCCAGAATCCTCTTGCTGGAACGATGGCTCTTAAGCCAAATTTTGAACTGTTAAAAGTGGTATTGCTGTCTGTGGAAGTTACTACCCTTAAAATAAACACATCCACTCTGGGAAGAAGTACAGCCTCAAATCCCCAAAGAGAAATTCCTCAAAGGTCTCCTATGACCTCTGTCACCGACAACTTGACCGGTTTGCTAAGTATTCACCACTGCCAAAGACTCTCGATTGGGCTCAGCTGAAATGAACATTGTGGATAAATACAATTTGTATGTCATTTTAGAAAAATCAGTAAAACTATTGCGCTTATTTTGAGTGTTACCATTGGTATCACTAGTAGCAATCCCTCCCCACCTGTTTTTTGGCAAAGAGCTAATATATGGCTTTACATAGCTAAATCTTCTAATTTGCTGAAGACAAGTTGTGTTCAGTTTGGCTGGTGTTAGAGGTGGCATCAAAAGCTCCTTCCACTTGGTTGATTTTCCCTCCTCCCATTAGGTATAAAATTGTATCACAATCATAGTCTCCACTTTGCAAAGTGGTTGGAAATATGTCCACTTACAGCTTAAAAGGGCCTTTTCTGACAAATTTGCCTAAGTTTCAGAATTTAGTCATGTCACTGGCATAAAGGCACTTTCATGAAGGGACAGAGGAATATTTAAATTTAAGCACATTATAACCATTCAACTGATTTGACCACTAAACTGGGAAGCATTTGGCGTGGCTTACAAAATAATTAAGGTAACCACAGGAGGCAGTTCCAAAACACTTTTTTTTTTAAATAAGAGGAGCAGAATCTCAATGGTAAGTAACTAATTCTCTTTGACAAATGAAAGGGACCTGAGAACAAATGATGGTTTACCGCAGACTTCGCCTGGGTTGTAGGTGTAGTGTTTAATTTTTGGTCACTTCCTTTGTGATGTAAGTTTTAATTAGAAAGGTTAATGAAATTTCAGGGAGGGACCAGTGTTCCTGTTTGGCAGGCCTGTGTTCCAGATTGATGAGGGAGATTCAGAGAACAGCTTTTCCCTGTGCTTGGGTAGAGGCAGACTGGAAAGCAAGAGTGTGGGGCAAGTTGGAGAGACCCTGAGCCAGCTGCTGCTTTTAATTCATCACGACAAAGTGCTAAATTGGGGGGTATTGTTTTCTGAGCCCTAACATATGGAACAAATGGCAAGATCCAGTAGAACCCTACTACCTCCCTACAATGACCACCTCCTTGAGTTGACCTAATTTTCATAGACCAGACATGCACCACATGTGTGTATCCGTATAGCAGGCCTAGTTCCCTAAGTTGCCCACCTCCATATTTTGACTAGTTTGTTACAGTCCCTTGCGTGGTCAACTTACGGAGGTTCCACTGTCTTTTGAAGATGCCAGGGAATTTTTAAAATTATATCATACTAACTGCCATAATTCCATAGAAAAGAGAATACCACGTATTAATTCAGGTTTTAATTAAAAGGATTTTTTATTGTGGTAAAATACACAAAAATCTTAACCATTTTTAAGTGTACAGCTTAACGGTACTGGGTACATTCACACTGTGGTGCTAACATCACTACCATATTCATTCATTTTTTAAAAAGACCACTTTTGGCTTTCCTTCTAGGTAAGAAGTTATGCCAGAGAAAATGTCAACAAAATGAAGTAAAATCTTAGATTCCATATCTTCAAGAAATAACATATTATTTGTTATTAAAAAAAACAGGACTTTGCAGAAATCCAAAAGGAACTGCCACTTTAAGGGCCAAAAGAGCGATGTGGGCTGTGTGGAACACAAATCAGTGTCTAAGAAGATTTGGAGGCTCTTCAGTAGACCTGTGCTTTCCCAAGGACGCCTGAAGCACATGCCCGACTGGGTCCTGTCTGAGCACCCGGAGCTCCGCAGTCAGCTCCAGGGAAGCAGAAAGTGAGATCTGCTGAGAGACCCGCTGCGTCCGTGATGGGAGGTGGCGTGGGTCTCAGACAGCTGACACACAAGTCCAATACAAAGATCAATTTGCTGCTAATCTGGAGAAATTGACCTTAGTGTTCAGACTCATGGGCAGAGAAAGCCAACAGTGATTTAAAAATGAATCCCAAATCAATTATTCTAAGGAGTTTAGCAGTGGTTCAATGACTGAAAATTGTCATTATTGCCTGACTTCAAAACAGAAAGGAAAGCTGAGCCACAAAATAAATACCAAGGCATTGGTAAGGTTCTGTTGGAGCCAATTAGTGGATCCCCAGAGCTGATAAAAATCTTTATGAATGCAGCAACATCTGGAGTCAAGTTATTTGAAAGCTAATACCATGGCTTATGACACTGTATTGCCAAGGGGCCTGGTAAAGGAGAATCATCTATTTATTTTCTAAATACCACACGTTCCCTTAAACTACCCAACCCCTCCCTCTTCATTCAAACGTGTGCCATTTCAAGTGGGCCTCTACTTCGTATGACCAAAACCAAGCCACAAAGGCTCATTCTCTGCACTGGAGGTGTTGCTTTGCAATGTAGCTGCCTTTCCCATGGACATGCTATGAAGTATGCTCCAGGGTGAACAGGCAGGAGTAGGGATTGACTCCTGAGTCCAACAACAAATGTCATTAACAAAGATGCTTCGTACAGAATTACAAATTAATACAGCCAGATATTAATCATCATAATTTCTAAACATATGACAACTCCTTCTTTAATATTGTTTGCTTCTATTCAACATTACTTAACAATGGTTATTGTCTCTTCCTAAGCAACACTGGCTACCGCAGTTGATATTACAGTAAAACTGCATTTTATTCTCTAAGCAGACACCTGTATGTGGCTGGGGATGGGGACCTCTGAAACAGAACAGAAGCACTAGTAAGTCGGGAAGGTGATCTGATATTTCAGTTTCCATTTGGACAATACAAGAAGAAGATAATCCACTTGTGATTAACTGAGACTTTAACAATCCTGCAAACCACACACACATCCTTACATTTAAGCCATTTTATAGTAAAAATTTTTAAGGGAAGAGGCCTGAAAATCTGTACTCAAAACTTCCATTTTAGAGAATGCATTCAAGAAATGAAAAATTTTATTTTATTTTTATTTATTTACTTTTTTTTATTTATTTTTTTTCTTTTTGAGACAGAGCCTCAAGCTGTCCCCCTGGGTAGAGTGCCTTGGCATCACAGCTCACAGCAACCTCCAACTCCTGGGCTCAAGCGAGTCTCCTGCCTCCACCTCCCAAGTAGCTGGGACTACAGGCGCCCGCCACAACGCCTGGCTATTTTCTGGTTGCAGCCATCATTGCATGCCCTGCATCATTGGCAGGCCCGGGCTGGATCGAACCCGCCACCTTAGGTGTATGTGGCTGGCACCTTAGCCACTTGAGCCACAGGTGCCGAGCCTATTTATTTACTTTTTTTGAGATGCAGTCTCACTCTGATGCCCTGAGTAGGGTGCCATGGCATCATCACAGCTCACTACAACCTCAAATTTGTGGGCTCAAGTGATCCTCTTGCCTCAGCCTCCTGAGTAGCTGGGACTATAGGCACCTGCCATGACACCCAGTTAGTTTTCCTATTTTTATAGTAGAAATAAGCTAATCTTGAACTCCTGAGCTCAGGAGATCCACCCACCTTGGCCTCCCAGAGTGCTAGGATTATAGGCGTGAGCCGCCGCACCCCACCTACTAGCTAATTTTAAACATGTAACTAAAAATAGCCTACAGCTATAATGCCAACTTGAAAGAAAAATATAAGGAATCTCTACCTGTCAACTACTTTTGAACACAGAAGCAAGTAGAGTCTCGATAACCTCATCCTTATTTTCCTACCCTAACAACTACTAAAACCCACCACACTTTCTCCTTATCGTACACTAACAAATTTCTCTCTTGTTTTGTTCCAATGAGAAAAAGCATATATGTTTGTAATTTTTTAAAAATGGTTTCAAACCATATGGCAATACCTAATGTTGATAGTAAAAGGCCCCATCCAGGTATGATTTCACTCTGTGTGTATCTAACATGGCTCTGGCCAGCTCACACTAAAGGAGAAGATTGACACACATCTAGTCTGGGCCCCTAGCTCTTTTAATTCTCTTCAAAGGGGTATAGGGCAGAAGGACTAAGTTGATGAAACCGCAAAGACCGTTAATTAGTCTAAGCCATTGATTTTACATGTGAAAAGACTTATAGTAAAATGATTTCCTTTCCCTCCTCACCTAAGGCTTACTCATCAACTTGGGTAATTTGAATTATTACTAGAATTGAATTCTTCATTTCATTTCAATGGACAAATATAAAAGAAAAATCAGTATATAAATGAGGACCACTTAAATGTAATGAGGAACTCCTGAACAGGTACGCTGGGTTAGCAAAACACTGTGTTGAGGTGCTCTTTCTCCCAAATGCTGGGAGACGATATCAGGGAAGCATCCTGAGTATGCTGAACACACTGTCCCAGGGCTTCTGACAGTACTTCCAAACCCAGTCAGTGTTTGCTGGTCCCACAGGGCTGGGAAAGCAGATGAATTAATTGGTGAGCGAACATTACCAGAAAACATGCACAAACACGTACATCAGTAATAGCATCAATCAAAGCCCAAAGAGTGTAATTATTACTCAATAAGAACAGAAACTGCTCTCAGAAATCATACTTTATCTTTCTAAACCACACCAAGCAAAAACAATAATCAAAAAACGATTCTGCTCTGTGATCATTTCTGACCCCTTGATGATAGCAAAACCCACAGCCTCCTAACTGATTACAAGGAGCGTGGAGGTCTCTGAGGCGGTCACGGTGATGGCTCTGAGGCTGTCAGCCCCTATCAATCACCTCTATTATAAATGACGCTTTTTCCAATTTTGCGCTCCTCTCAAAGGCTTCATTTTACCTGGATTAAGCTGAAGCAACGACATCTGAACTGTAGTGCTCCTATTTCGCTCCCCAAATAAATGCTGTCAGCACAGAAATAGGCTTTTCCTCAGTGGGAACTCAAAATCAAAGCAGACAACAGTGATGTGGTCACATATAAAAGATATTCTGACCACAAACACTTAACACGTGCATTATATAAACTTCATGAGCAACCATAGGGCATGCAATGGAGTATTCAAGGGTGCCAAGAGAAAAGAAGGTCGGTGAGTTGTACTTTTTAGCTCCTGAAATAAATATTCAGTAATTCCAATATAGTAATCAAAGTGCCACTGTGTACTCATGGATTACAGGAGATGGTCTCCTGAGAGTTTTTCACTATCTAATTTCACTACCTAGTATATATTATCTCTGTGATAGAGAAGTCATTTTTCTAAAATATTCTAGATACGTCTGGAGGGGGCAGTTTTAAATTGATTTTAAAAGGCATATTTTAAAAATAAAAACACCTTAAGGAGAGGGCCCCAGGTTATTTATCTTTATAATACTGATAGCTGGGGTAACCTTTGCTGCATTAATATAGCACTGTGGGAGTTACAGTTTGTGTAAATTGGATCAAAGTTACAAATATACACATTTTTCTTTTTTTTTTATTTTTGAAAACAGAGTCTTACTTTGTTACCCTTGGAAGAGTGCTGTGGATTCATAGCTTTCAGCAACCTCACACTCGGGCTTAAGTGAATCTCTTTTCTCAGTCTCCCTAGTAGCTGGAACTACAGGTGCCCAACACAATGCCTGGCTATTTTTAGAGACAGGGTCTTGCTCTAGTTCAGGCAATCCACCAGCCTCGGCCTCCCGGAGTGCTAGGATTACAGGCATGAGCCACCTCGCCTGGCACGATCATACACACTTTTCTTATCAACAAAGTAGACTTCATTGCTGTTTTCAATGGCCAGATAAATGTTGACCAAGAACCAGAAATAGAATGGGAGCAGAATGTAATGTAGAGGGAAGAGAGGGAGCTCAGAGTTACAAGCAACAGGCCCAGGGGCCACCTCTAGATAGATACAAAAGAAGGGCCCCAGCACAGTCACATTTTATTTAGCCCATGAGGTATTTTGTAAAATGTATATATTTTTGTCAACACTAAAACATTGGGAGAGTTCACTTAAAGATCTAGCTTTCAGGCTTTGCTTAAAAAAAATTAAACAGACGATCTGGCAATTCTCGTTTTACACTTTGGCTTGGTAGAAATCTGCTGTTTACACTCTAGTTTGCCACTGGAGACAATCGCAGGAGGCTGCTCTGTTCACCAGGGCTTCCTGTCTGGCCCCTGATGGCACTTGCAGGACTGAAGGAAGTTTGGAACCTGAAGAAACAGGAGGCCCTAGAAGAGAAAGCTTAATTGGGGATAAAGATCAGGAGCCCACAGAGGACATGCACAGATGAAGAAGGGGTTACAGGTAGTCGGGAGAAAACCAGCTGGCCGGGGACACAGACACAGACTTTGAGATTCAGATGAAGGCTGGGTCTGAGAGGGAGAGCTCTTAGTTGCTCACAAAGCCATTCGAGAAAAGGGATGAAGTGGCTTGAAGGAAAAGTATCAAGAAGAAAAGAAGAGAGGAGTGAGCCCTCAGTATGGTACTCAATAGAGAGAGGAAGAGGAAAAAAATCAAAGAGGGGACAGAAACTAACTTGGCACTGCAGGCTCCCCACGACCTGTCCCAGCCTACCTGCCTCCCTTCATTTTCCATGCCTCTTAGGCAGGCACTCTTTATCCCAGTCCTGTTTCTTGCTTGAGAAACCCTGTGCTGTCAGGGACGCCTTCAACTCCGCATTTCCCACTGCCTGAAATGCTACTTTCTCCTGCCTACTTGTGTCCCACCTCTCTGAGCTAACGAGCTGCCCCAAACAGCTGCTCCCAGTGTCCCGTGCCCCTCTGCTAACATCTTTATCACACTGCCCCTCCGTCTGCTGCCTTCCTACCACTCCATGAGGCCAGGGACCACGACTTCTTTGGCGATTTATCCTCAGTGCCTGACATACAGAAGTGTTCAAGAAATGGTAACAGAACAAAGGAGGGAGGATTGAGGAACTGGAGTGATAGGATAAATCTTGGGGTAATGCTGGACCACAGAAATCAAGGAAGAAGAGCAATTTCTGCTGGAGAGAACCATCTCAGGTAACACAAGGAGGAAGACGCTGACAAGAGGCACTGGGCTTTACAAGAATCTGTCACTAAGAAGGCTGGGGTGGGGATGGTTTCTGACCCATTGTTGGAAAATTACTTGGCAATATATATCAAAAGGCTTAACGCTGCTCACATCTTGGGTCTGAATAAACCTACTCAGGAAATACGTCTGTAATGGACAATGTGGGGTTTTTGTTTGTTTTGCATCTTTCCCCTGGACGTCCAGATCCAAGCCTCATTTCCACTTTGAAGGAGCTCCCATCAGGTGACCCTCTGAGAAGATGCAGCACGTCACTTTCACTCAGGGTCCCAAGGTCACCAAATTCTTCCTCTGCCTACCCTGAGCAGCCAAGCCCTGCCAGGGCAGCACTCCCTGCACTGGACAAGAGAGGCAGAGATGCCACCCAGCTTCTATGGCCTCACCCTCCAGACCAGTCTCTTCTTGTCCAGGAGACGGCTGCTCTATCCCCTGGTCTGACAGCAGTCACTTCTCTGGACCTCACATAACCTACTAGTCAAGAACTCAAGGTTATAAGGCAGCCATAGCTAGACTCTGATTCTGGTACCTAGAAGTATCAGGATCGAAATCCTACCTGAAAGAAAAAAAATCCTAAATCTTAAAAAAAAAAAAAAACTCTACGCATGTAACAAAGCATTATTCATATGGCAAAATGTAGGAATAAAGTAAGGCCCCAAACAGAGGTACATAAGAAAATAATGGCATATCCACTTGGTAGAACAGTATGAATCACAAAGTAAAATATGCTTACAATAAGGCATTTAAAAAAATAAGGGTTTAAGCATACAGAATTATCATAATCTTAAAAAAAACTATTTGCAAAAAAAAAAAATGACTTTATGTACCAAAATAAAAAGCACATAAATACTTTTCTTTGATTTCCCTTAATTTTTAAATTATAGAAGTAATGTAGGCTTCCCATAAAATATTCTAAAGACACAGAAAGAAAACACTGCTAATTCTGTCACCCAGCTCCATGCCTTGTCCACACCCACCAGTCCCAAGTCACCCGTGGGGACCACATCTCCTCCTCTGCACCGCTCTTCAGGCTCCAACAAACATGCTCATACAGGCTTCTCTCTCTCCTTCTCTTCCTAAAGATAGCAAACACATTCTGCTTATTTTGCTTTGGTTTTTTACTTTACCAGACTCAGAAGCAGTTTCTCCATTTATTCTTCCCATTTCTGCTCCAGTGTCTTGCCTCTGGGAACCCTCTAAGGCACAGGCTGCCTGAGCTGCGCCTGACCCCTGCATTCCGATTATAGCAGGTCTCCTCTCCTACACTCTAACCCTACCTACCGTCAGCTCCAGTTCCTAGCCCAGCGCCTGGCTCACGTGAAGCCCATGAACTGTGCCAGCAAGGAGGAAGAAAATGAACGGCTGGAAAAGCTGGAGGACAAGATAGCCTTGAAGGCTGACAGCACTGGGGGAGGACAGGGCATTTCTGTATCGAGACTGAGTTAAGGACGGCAAAGGAGATAGAGACAGATAGGTAAAGAAAAAGGGGGTGGAGGACCTTAACTAGCTTACCTCAACAAATGATTTACAGGGGAAAGAAAAGCTAACAATAGCCAAGAAGAAACCTTCTTGATAAGTAAGATAAACAAAAGAAACTGCATAGTTATTTCTTTGTTCCGGATTAAATGCTTAGGATTTTTTATTTTTTACTTTTTTTAGTTTTTGGCCAGGGCTTGAACCTGCCACCTCCAGTATATGGGGCCAGCATCCTACTCCTCTGAGCCCTGCTTAGAATTTTTTAAATAATTCTGACAGACAAAAGTAGCTCTGGGCAGTGCCCATAGCTCAGTGGGTAGGGCACTAGCCACATACACCTAGGCTGGCAGATTCGAACCCAGCCTGGGTGCCAAACATCAACGACAACCTCAAAAAAAAAAAAAAACCTGGCATTGCGATGGGCAACTGTAGTCCTAGCTACTTGGGAGGCTGAGGCAAGAGAATCACTTAAGCTCAAGATTTTGAGGTTGCTGTGAGCTATGATGTCACATCACTCTACTGAAGGTGACATAATAAGACTCTGTCTCAAAAAAAAAAAAAGGCTCGGTGCCTGTGGCTCAAGCGGCTAAGGCGCCAGCCACATACACCTAAGGTGGCAGGTTCGAATCCCTAGCCCGGGC